ATGTAAAAATATAATTATATAAGTATAGTATTAAGAAAAGTATTAAAATAGTTAGATAAGCACAAAGAACTCGAAATTCCTTTTTGTTACATACTGAAGTAAATGGAACCACAAGTAAAAATTTTACTTAGAAAATAAGACATCATTAATTAACACTAAGCTTTAAACAAACTCTGATTACTTGTGCACATCAACCATTAGAATGATGATGTTTATTTTTCTCAGAGAACTCGTTTTAACTTTTATTTATGGTTTTTACAAAAATGCCATGGATATTTCCCCCTGAGGTTTATTTATTTAATTATCTTCTCATTCATTCATATTTTTTCTGTTGTTTTGAGTTCAACCAATCTTTACAAACATAAGTAGAATTCTTCCTCCCAATTGTAGATCTGTTTACTTCGTTTCAATTAAATAAACCTCTACAGAATGCTTCAACAACTTTAGGCACTTCCTCACTAAATCCACAAATTTCTAACGTATTGGGCTCATTACCCACCAATACTGAACGGGGTGAACTCAATGAAAATGTAATCAATCTATTAAAAAATAATTAAATTTTAATTTTTGTTTTAAATTGCATTCAACAAAAAAATAAACATACTTTGTATGTGGTAATGACATCTTTTTTCGATAAGAGCTTAGAGTACTGGGCGTTTTTTCACAACTTCGGAGTTTTTTAGGCATTCCTGCAAAGGAATAAGTACCATAAAGAAAATGTATGAACACATCGATGGGTTTCTTATTATTTTGAGCCCATTCAATGGCCTGTGATGGCATAACAAACTTACTCTTCAACTCTTTCAATTGTGAAAGTGCTTGGTTGAGAGTTATGTCTATAACATAAGTTAAAAATTAGTTTAGAATTTAAAAGAATTTAAATAATTATATACTTTTTTCAAAGGATAATATTGTGACTGGTTTATCGTCATTAAAAGCCGCTACAACTACGTCTTTTTCAGTTCTTAACAGTGACAAAGTCATAATAGTGGCTGCATCAAAACAGGAAAGATTTTTGCAATGAAGGCAGGGTTCTTTCATTTTCTCTACAGTGTCAAAAGTTATCATTATCCTTTTCCCTATTGATCGAAGGTTATGAAAGGAAATTTGTAATGCTTTGTGAAGAGCAGAAATGATAGAAGGACATTTTGGGGCTTCACATGTTAATTCAGGTTTCTTATAATTTTCATCTTGAAGTTTCATTTCTAAGGCTTTCTTTTCCATGTGTTCTAAGAATTGGGGATCCAAAGGCCTACAAATTTTCATTTATATTTTTAATACCAATGAGAAATTAATGATTTTTATATTTGAGAAGTGATTAAATTTTACATACTATATTAAACTGCTAGGCAATGTTTTGGGATGTATTTTTGAATAGTTAGAGGTAATATTTAAAAATATTTGCAATATGTTATGTACTATAAAAAGCATTAAAAATACAAAAGTTACTTACTTTCCCCCTTTTTCAAAATTTCGCAGTCGTATGAACACTTGGACAGGATGAATTTTTGAAGATTTTAAAGTATTTGCATTTGTAATTGCTTCTACAACTTTCGTTTGAAATGTTGTATTGGCTTTCAAGAATCCTAATTTGTACAATTTTGGCAGTGCTGCAGTAAGTTCTTTAAAAGGCAGGTTTGGTAGTAAAGCTTCCCAAACCTTAAAATAGAATATTTAAATTTATAAAGTAACACTTGTTACATAACAAATCCTACAGCTTGTGAATTATGAAAATGCGAAGGAACTTGAATTAAAGAAGTACATCCAAGTTCAGTAATTAATTCAGATATTTGTTTTTCATCTTTACATTTCTTCAACTCTGTCACTTTCTTTAAATATGAAATAATACTTTCTGATTCTGGATATTCTGCAGCCATTGACTCTGCTTTTCCCAAATCAAAGAGTACATATGTCATAATCAGACTAATAACTATAACAAAACAAATTCATAAAATCCATTTATACTTTCATCATTCTGAATAACTTACGTTTATCATCTGTTTTGCAGTGAGATAACTTTAAAAGGTCTTTATGAGTCCAACTGTGAAATCCTTTTGACTTGGATATTTCTTTTACTAGATCCATAGGTTCCTTCTTTAAATAAAACTCACCGATCAATTTGTTTAGTCCAGATGGAAACGATCGCTTTTGGAGGGTACAAAATCTTATAAACATGAAGAACTCTTCAGTTGATCTCATAATACTTAGAGCAGTTGTATAAACTCTATTTCTTACGGTATCAGGGACTGAAACCAGATTTGTTCGAGCTACCACAGCAAGTATAAAGAACAGTGTGGCTCTTCCTGGAAGAGTATTTTCACTATTTACAATTTCAACTATATTGAGAATTGTATCAATTTTATTTGCTTCTATTAATTCTGTTACTGCTTTTGCCTTTTCAACAGTATAATACTTATACACTTCAGGATTCCCAGTAACGAAACGAAGATCCTCGGAATATAAATACAGATAACGTTTAATTCGATTTTCTGGAGTTGCTTTGTTTTTTGATGTAGCCATTTCGATTTCGTAGGGCACTATATAATCATTCACTTATCGTAAATTATTTTTTTTATCACTAATAAATTTACAATTTAACCTAACTTCTACAAATGATGATTAAGGAATTAGAAATGTACCACTAATATTATGTCCTTGCACCTTAATTATTTGTTATTTATATAGATAATTAATTGTAATTGAATATACTACTAATTAATATTACTTTACGTTTTTTATTAATAAACCATGGAACTACTGCAACTACAAACTCCTTTCCGAACCTATCCCAACTTATCTAAAAAATGTTAGAAATAAGTATAAACATTTTTAATTAACATTAATATGTAGTAATTTTTTTAAGCACTTTTTTTGTAAAGTTATCATCGACTTTACAATTAACAATTACAGTTAAATAAATAAATAATCAACAAATTGTAGTAGACAATCGTACCAATATAATCTATGAAGTTACATACAGAGTGTTCTTTTCGAAGCCTTTAACATTAAATATTAAATATATACAAATAGAGTGTTAATGTGATCGCCGTTGCTCAGTGAGTGTTCGGTCATAGCCGATTTTTCACTGTCCTAGCCGGCGTCTTGNCTATTTTATTCATTTGTTAATTAAAACTGCTTCCAATTGCTCTTTATTAAAATTTTACATAAGAATGTGTACGTGCATAAATGGTCCATAATTTCAATATCTATGGCATAATATTTATTTTATTTGGATTCTTGACACTGACGTTTCTGTAACACGTAGTCTGCTGATAAATTGTAGGTTAAAATATCGTTACTCTGCTTGAATTTTGCATGGAATGTTTTGCTTTGTAAAAGAACAATTAAACTTTAGGAATTACGTATTTCAATTTTTTATCGTTGTGCATTAGTTGGATAAATTTAGACAGGAAACCGGTAGAAATGGCTGCAATAGAACAGCCGTGCTATACCATCATTAATGCCCCTTTAATGGCCGAGCCCTATAACGAAATGCAGCTTAAAATGGATCTGGGTAAATATTATCTATTTTCATTTAATACAACTTAAGTTTAAAATGTATCGTATTGTTCAGAGAAGGGTGATGCAAAGGTTAAAATAGAAGCCCTCAAGAAGACAATTCACATGATTTTGGCAGGAGAGAAGCTTCCCAACTTGTTAATGACAATTATTCGATTTGTTCTTCCATTACAAGACCATACAGTGAAGAAACTATTATTAATTTTCTGGGAAATAGTTCCTAAAACAACCCCCGATGGAAAATTACTTCAGGAGATGATTCTTGTATGTGATGCTTACAGAAAAGACCTACAACATCCAAATGAATTTGTTAGAGGTTCCACTTTAAGGTTTCTTTGTAAGTTAAAAGAACCTGAATTGCTGGAACCTTTGATGCCAGCTATTCGTGCATGCTTGGAACATCGTCATTCATATGTTAGAAGAAATGCTGTTCTAGCCATTTTTACTATTTATCGGAATTTTGAGTTTTTAATCCCTGATGCTCCAGAGCTGATATCAACATTTTTAGATGGGGAACAGGATATGTCTTGTAAACGCAATGCATTCTTAATGCTTCTCCATGCAGATCAAGAAAGAGCATTGGCATATCTCACTTCTTGTTTAGATCAAGTTAATTCTTTTGGTGATATTCTTCAGCTAGTTATTGTGGAATTAATTTATAAGGTCTGTCATGCAAATCCATCAGAGAGATCACGTTTTATAAGATGTATCTATAGTCTTCTAAATTCTAATAGCCCTGCAGTTAGATATGAAGCTGCAGGTACCTTAATTACACTTTCAACAGCTCCGACAGCTATTAGAGCAGCTGCTAGCTGCTACATAGAACTTATAGTAAAAGAGAGCGATAATAATGTAAAATTAATTGTCCTTGACCGATTAATTGCAATACGTGAACATCCTTTGCATGAAAAAGTTTTACAAGAACTTGTCATGGATATATTGCGGGTCCTGTCCAGTCCTGACCTAGAAGTAAGGAAGAAGACTCTGAAGTTGGCTTTAGACTTGGTTTCATCAAGAAATATTGAAGAAATGGTTCTTGTATTGAAGAAAGAAGTTTCCAAAACACATGATGCCGAACACGAAGATACCGGAAAATACCGTCAACTTCTCGTTAGAACGCTTCATTCATGTTGCATCAAGTTCCCAGATGTTGCTCCCAATGTAATTCCCACTCTTGCCGAATTTCTTTCAGATAGTAACGAGCTAGCCGCTACAGATGTATTGGTGTTTGTTCGAGAAGCTATTCAAAAGTTTGAAAATCTACAACCACTTATTATTGAGGTATTCATTTGTATTTCATTAATCATAAGTTAGGGCAACCTGTAAGGGAATGGAACCCATACAAAGATAGCCTAAATGCACTTCTGCCAATTCCATCTAAATAAAAAAGTGATTTTTAAATTAAATTTTAATATTATTTTATGAAATATTTACAGAAATTACTAGAGTCGTTTAAAGATATAAAATCGTCAAAAGTGTATCGGGCTGCTTTGTGGATACTGGGAGAGTATGCTACAAGTAAAGCAGACATTGAAGCAGTTTTGCAACATGTTCACCAAACGTTAGGGGAAGGTTCAATTCTAGAAGCTGAACAGAAACTAAATGCTGGTGAAATTCCCTCAGATGGAACTCAAGGCTCTACAACCTCCTCAGTTTCTACTTTGGTTACTTCTGATGGGACATATGCTACCCAATCGGCATTTAGTACCATTCAGTAAGTACCCCAGTGGCAGGTGTAAAAACTGAAAGTAACTGATGTTTACTAACTTAGGAAAACGAAGAAAGAAAAACGTCCTCCTTTACGTCAGTATTTCATGGATGGGGACTTCTTTATTGGAGCTGCTTTAGGAACAACTTTGACCAAGCTGGCACTTCGTTATAGAAAATTTTCTGATAATGTCAAAAGAAATCGATTCGAAGCTGATATAATGCTTCTCATTGCAAGTATTATTCATTTAGGAAAGTCAGGTAGGCATACATAAATTTTTAACGTTTTTACTAATTTCTAATTATTAACTATTTCTTACAGGTCTACCCTCGAAAGCAATCACTAACGACGACGTGGATCATTTACTCTTCTGTTTGAAAGTTCTATCAGATGGAACTCAAACTATAGTCGATGTTTTCTGTAGATTTTGTAGGGAGGCCTTGAATGACATGCTTGTTGCTAAAGAGGTCGAAGATGAAGCAATTTTATCTAAAGTGAAGAACAAAATTGCCAACAAAATTCATGCTGATGATCCAGTGTCGTTCATGCAATTCGAAACTGACAAGAATGAATTGGGCGAGAATGTGTTTGAAACAGCTTTGGCCCAAGCTTTGATAGGAGGACGAACTTCTACAGCTGATTCCACATCCACATCGATTAGTAAACTAAATAAGATAACACAACTGACTGGATTTTCTGATCCTGTATATGCAGAAGCCTTTGTTCACGTCAATCAGTATGATATTGTTTTGGATGTGCTGATTGTGAACCAGACAAACGACACACTACAGAATTGTACCCTGGAACTGGCCACATTGGGTGATTTGAAACTTGTTGAAAAGCCACAACCCGTTGTACTAGCCCCTAAAGATTTTTGTAATATAAAAGCCAATGTTAAAGTGGCAAGCACAGAAAATGGTATCATATTTGGCAATATTGTCTATGATGTCACTGGCGCTGCTTCTGACAGGAACGTGGTCGTATTAAATGACATCCACATTGATATCATGGACTATATTGTCCCAGCAAGTTGCTCCGATGCCGAATTCAGACAAATGTGGGCGGAGTTTGAGTGGGAAAATAAAGTTTCTGTTTCGACAACCATTACAGATCTGGCCGAATATTTGCAACACCTTATAAAGAGCACAAACATGAAGTGCTTAACACCAGAAAAAGCACTATCGGGACAATGTGGATTTATGGCTGCTAATATGTATGCAAAATCCATTTTTGGTGAAGATGCATTGGCTAATTTAAGTATCGAGAAGCCTTTTAACAAACCTGACGCCCCCGTCACAGGACACATACGGATCAGAGCCAAGAGTCAGGTAGCTATTATTGAATTTTTAAACATTAGTCTGCAATAGATTTATTTATTTTGGTTTTGTTTAGGGAATGGCGCTTAGTTTAGGAGACAAAATCAACATGACTCAGAAAACCCAACAGCAAAACAAGGTGGTTGCTGGTTAATTGGTAATTTCTATAATTTGAATACAATTGCTATTTAAGTTTATTTAGGCTTTATTGTAGGAGAACATGTGCATTTTATATTATATTGCAGTATAAACATAAATATCTGCTGTAAATAAATATATTAACAACTCTAATCTGATTTTAATTAAAATAACCCATACCAATTAACTTAATGCACAGCATTATACCTTTTTGTAACTTGGGACTTATACAACTTTTTTTTCATTCAGAACTCCTTTTTAATCAGAATAATGATTAAGTAACCTTATCTCTGAAAGTGAAGTAGACTGTCCAATGGATATGACGAGATCCCTGTTATAAATTTTGAAATTAGTAGAAGCTATTTCCTAAATTTATTGCGCAGAGTTGAATGTCGTCATTAAGCAAGGTTTACGTTTACGTTGCAAAGTTACCATATAAGACATTTACCCACTATAAAATTAGACGTTATTTTATGGGATTACAGTTATCAACAGTTGATAATCATTTATAATCCTTTATCATAATGCAAAAAAAAGAAAACCGACCAAAAACCCTCATAATAATTTTTTTACTCCAATAAATTAAATGATTACATAAATACAACNTAATAATAATATACAAGTTCACGAAATAAGTATTACAAATGATAGTAATAATAATAATAATAGTAATAACTCATTTGTGCTGAGGTTGCTTAAAATGATTTCACTGGAATTCTGTCTTTATCAGTAACAAAAACCTGAAAAGATTACTATCATTTAAAAGAGTGGGAAGCTTTTATTTAATCTTTTCGACTCTGTTGACATACACTAGGCTTTATGAGAAAGTATCATTTCGTACCTAAATCTATTCTTCTTCCTCTTCCTCTTCTTCCTCTTCCTCCTCCTCCTCTTCTTCTTCCTCTTCCTCATCAACTTCTACCTCTTCTTCTTCCTCTTCTTCAGGTTCAGGTTCGAAGGTAGGTTCTCTGATGTCTTCATCGTCATCACCAGCATGCTTACCCTCTTCTTCACCTTCAGGGGTTTCAGGATCGCCAGATTTCTTGCCAGGGCGTTCACCGAACCATTTTGGTAGTCTCGCTAAAATGCAGAGTACCTTTTTATCACTTTGTACCCCTTAAATTTATTTTGAAAGTAAAATACTTGGTAACATTAAAAAGAAACATAATGACAACATAAATAAACACTTTCATGTGGTCTTTATTTGGTACAGGGTTAACTTCAAGGTCGTTACCTTTTTATTTTGAAGAACTGATAAATACTTACTTTTATTCATTTTCCAAATTGTGGTACTCACACTAATTCCTCAAATGAATGTTAATGACTTGATACTTATTAATATTATCGATCAAAGTGAATATAATTTATTAAACTGAAGTATTTTGAGTATGACAAATAGTCACTCTTAGGAAAGAGATAGATATTCGTTACCAATCATTCTCTTGGGTAATCCTTACCCCTCTAGGCAATAACTTCTGCTCTAGAGATAAGAGATATATTCAATATATATTTAGCAATAAAAATAAGATGAGATTTTTGCACCCTGGATACTGGCCTTCAATATAAGAAATGGTATTTGTGCAGTATAAGCTCTAGTGAAGGTTACCAATATGAACTTTCGTAGAGACTATAATAGTATCATCATTTAAAAACTTATACGTACCTTTTTGACGAGATTCCCATTGGCCGCTCCTATCTTTCCATGTCTTTTCGGATACTTCCTTAATGATTTCTTCAAGACCCTGTTAAATCGAAAGGAATGGTTTAAGGGGACAAATAAGGCACATGTACAACAACAATAATCAAAACTTTTACGATATTTTCAGAGGTCCTTTGATGAGAATATCATTTGCACATATGTACCTATATTAAATATATAGATATTTCACTGGACAAACAAGACACGAAAACATAAATTAATGATAGATGAAAAACGAAAAACATATTGGGGTACCGTGCAGGAGACACATTATTCCCCACTTACTTCTAGTTCTATTCATAAATTGTTCCATTTTTGTTTGCCATACTTTTTCAAGCACTTCCATGGACAATGAGTTGAAACCCTGTGCATAATACACAATCATTTTTTATCTGCTCACTAAATATAATCATTAAAGCCCTGTTGAATCTGCTATTGTGATCGTGCAGTAAAATAGTGATAGGAATGAGTTTCACTGCTGTTCATAAGATTATAGACGCTGCTTCAATTTTGTTTATTAAGTTTTATAAGGTCTTTTATTCCCCCCAATTTAAATGTCGTTATGTAATGGTGTCTGTTTTCCAGTGTCGTGCATAAATTGAAAGGTGTACGTTTTCTTTTCTTTTTTGGCAGAAGTATATTTAATCAATGATTTCAACTTTTCAATACTTACTCCTTCGAATAATTTTTTCTTGTCGTCATACGATCTGGTATCTACACGACGTTCATATTTGGAGGCGACTTGTATTTTTGGCTTTAAAGAGAAATAAAAGTTTAATTTCCAACGATTGGATACATCAACAAAAGTCATTGATTCTTACCGGGTATTTTCCTGTGAGGGCTTCAGGGTCCAATCCCTTCTTCAAGGCTTTGTGCCTCAATTGTTGTTTCTGTCTTTCCTTCAATTCTTTAAGCTGTAATAGAAATTAAATTACAGTAAGCAATGTCACTCGGTGGTCATATGTTCATCCTCAATGAAAGTAGTGCTTGATGTTACTATAAAAAAATACGTACATCGTAGTCCTGACGTTTTTGCCTTTCTTCTAAATCGTACTTTTCTGTCTCAAGTTTGACAATACAATCCCAAAGTTCAATGGCTTTCTTTTTAAGGGCGTCTACGTTAAGTCCGTCCAATTGCAAAGGTTTGATACGGATGGAAAGGGAAATTTTCTTTTCTTCTTCTAGTTGTTCCTTGGTTTTGTTCCTTTCTAATTGGGCAGGAGACAATGCTGCCTACATTAGAATAGTAAACAAAGATTAGTGGAGCGTTTTAAAGAATCTTTTGTGAAGATCCATGTGAATATAAAACTTAAACTTACGGATGCATCTTTCTTGGTGATGGTGAAATTGGGACCTTTCTTTGCACTCTGGTCTTTCATGGCTTGCATCATAACTTGACGTTTCTTTTCGGCCTCCTCGAGACGCTGCCTCTTCTCTTCTTGTTCGCGTTGTTTCTTTTCTTCCAGTTCGCGGACACGTCTCTCTTCTTCTTGCTTCTTCCTTTCAGCCATCTTACGTTCCTCATCAGCACGCGTGACTTTGCGTTTGGCCTGTTTCTCTTTCAGTTTTTTGAGTTCATCCTCTTCCTTGGCACGTTGTTTACGCCATTCTGCGATGTATTCTCGGAGTTGCTCATCGAGATCGGATCTCTTTTGGTCCTGACGTTTAATGAACTCTGGATCTCCGGACTCCCTATAAGATTGTCATTTAAGAACTGATACTAAACAAAACAAATGCAATGGTATACATTTTTGGAAGAGCTTTTGCTATCATCTATTATCTATTAAATTTCGTTCCTTAAATATATCGGTTAAATATATGTAAAAACTAAAAGGATGCAAAACTAAAATGTTACGAAGGAATTGAATTGTTGTTGTTGACTAAATGTTTTAATCGTTAAAAAATTCAGTTAATGCAGTTATTATCGTAATATACACTTTTAGTTTTGTTTCCTTTTTTCCTTTCTAGAAAGTGTTCATAAATGATCGGTTGAAAAAAAGACATTAAAGATATTTAATATTTAGCTAGAGTAGTAGTAAAATTATGCAAATTCACAAAAAGTAAAATGTTAAAAAACACGCGAATGAAGAATTAATAATTAGAAAAATTCAAAAAAATACAGTTGAAAAAATGCATTCAGGCAGCGTATTTTATTACATAATGCAAAAATACAAAAAACCTGTAAATATGTAAGACAAAAAGTCAAAACTCCACGATGCGGCAGTTTGAAGCTGACGAGCTTTTGTAAGATTTTTTATCCAACTTTTTGTAATCCTTGCATTTTTCTGAAAACTTTCTTTAAATAAGAAATTTAAACGTACAATAATTTAAAATTTAGCCCAGTAGATGTTTCTGAAATAGTTTCCGTGATAAAAGAGCAATCTGAAGTAAAAATGCAAGGAATACCTCTGTTGAGCTGGTAGACGTAAAAAAATGCCCGCAGCAGAAAGCAGCTAGGCTTCTCAAAATTACTAAAAAACTTACTCGACTTCAACTTTTCTTTCGACTGGTCTATTGTACCACAGACGACACACCAAGGGCAAGGTTGTGGTGGAGGAAAGAAAAAATTAAAAATAAAACAATTAAGAACAACAAAATTTACAAAATACAAAAAGTATTACAGGAAAAAATAACGAAAAAACACGACACTCCTTTTTTTACGTGTGGCAACGATATTTTTGATAAATGTTACACTTAATTTGTGATACATATAGATATATAATTCAATTTAGTAAACTAAACAGCAGGTAAGGTATTTATCTGAAATAGTTCTTCTTTTTAGTGTTTACTACAGTAGGTGAAGAAAGGGACACAGGGGCATCGGATACTTACTTTCTGCAAGAGAAAAAGATGTTTATTAAATTTTATGTTGACATGAAACGAGATCTACAAGTATAATTATTATTTCCACGTACAGGCCTATTGCATTCATATCATTAATTATTTTTTTCGAAAAATTACTTAAACCATTAATTTGAGAGGACATTTTAGACAGCGGGCTGAGAACCTTCATTATAAACAAAAACGAATAGAGTTACCATGGAGAGTCGTATTTTGTTTGTGTTTAAAGTTCCAATAAATTGCAATTGATTTATTCCAATTGGAGAAACAAAAATGGTAAATAGGTAGGTACCCATATCTGTCTTGATAGAGAGGAAAGTTTCAACATTTTCAAGGATAGCAAATTTGTTTCCATCTACAATACTTGTAAAAATAGTTCAATGAAGAAAATAATAATAAGACAATATTTTGGGATAAGTTCATTCAAATTAATTAATTACTCACTACGGCTAATGAAATAATATAAAAAGGAAACTTCTGTGCCTATCTTTTGCGTCCAAACTATATCAGGTACCTACGTATTTTACGACATGAAATTGAAAAGAGAAAATTAATATACAATTTTGATACAAATATTCGTATAAATTGTTTATTAATGAAAAGGTTTGAGTGTACTTTTTATTCCAATTTGATATGAATGTTGACTGCACGTATAATTAATAAAATTTAAATACTTAAACATTCTCAACTTACGTCTCTACGACTTCTTCTTCCTCCTCTTCTTCGCTAAAAGGGGTTAAAAATTACATTTACTAACATGTGTGTTGCATACGTTTATAGACTAGCCCTAGTAGCCATGAGCACCTGAATATTAAAGTAAATAACAAGAAAAAAACAAAAAAGATAAACAAAATAAACCGTTTTCAGTTCATGCGTAAGCTCCTAGTTGTTTACATTAAAGTTTCGTCAGACTTACGAGTAAACTTCTTCTTCATCGGACATCTTGGCAGTTGGTTAGGGAACTGAAATATAAAACTTCGTTTAAAAACCTACAATTCCAGCTGAATTTATAAAGCTTGCAAAAGCTCTTTTAGTTACGTTCGAAAGATATTTATATTTAGAAATTGCTTATTTTTTCAACCATGTAGGTACCTATTTTAGGTACCTATCCTTAAAATGACGTTCTCTAATTTAATTTATTAATACCAAGGAGGAGATTAATTTGTATATCTAATTCCCAATAAATTCTCCAATAAATCGTCAAATTTTTGATGGATATTACTAGAAAGTGACGAAATAATTGTTGAAAAAAAAAATGTTTTTTAAAAAGATATTCTTTGAAGTATATTTTATCTAGTGTATTTTCTTGATGAAATTTTAGCTCCAAGCAATTCTGTATTTGGCTACGTTTACAGTTCCAATCTATTTTTGTACCAGCATGTCTACCCACCACCTATATTCCACAAATAAACTCATGGAGCGCTTCAATAAGATCACATTTCCACATTGCAAATAGTATTTTGAGGTAATTCAATTATTCTGGTCTATATATGTAGGTAGTATACAACAATTAAAACATAAATATCTAATATAATATCTATTCTGTCGATCCCTGTTGCTTTACTTAAAACTGTCCAATTTAATGATAGACAAAAATAGATCAAGAAGATGATGATGGAGAGACAGGAGAGAGGAATATTGATTACAGTTCTATGTGTTCGGCCCCTTTTTTAAAATAGTGTGCCCATATTAAAATAAAATTAAGAATGCTACAGTAATTCATACTCGAGATGTTAGATGGAGAAAATAACTTTGGGCTAAATTTAAATGGAAATGGCGTTATGTAATATAGACCTGTTATATTATCGTACAGACAAATTTCTTCGTTTTCTATCAGTAGATTTCTCATTAGAAATCAATTTGTAATTGAAGCAGTTACATTAAAAGTCCGTACTAACAATATACATACGTTTACTCACAACTGATATAATTAATATTCACCACATTTCTGTGCCCAATTTCGAAATCAAAAAATTTTTAGAATTACTCGAATATATTTTTTAAAATTTTTTTGTTTATTCTAAAGTGATACCATAAAAAAATAACAAAAAAAAATGAACTTACGATAAATGTATGAGAATTATCGAGGAGCACTACGCCACTCACCGAGTCAGCAGTGACTAGTACAATATCTAGACTTTAATTTAGGGGAAGACTTGAATGCGCACGTCGCTTGTCTTATTTTTAGTGCTTAAAATTTCGGATATGATACCAAAAAATTCAATTTTGTATGTATCGGTTTCATTCACCGTTTACTCTTTAGCTATGTTGCTTTCGCAAACATGTGGGTTTTTGTTGATAGAAAATGCGCTACTGACTTACCTTTTTCGAGCATATAGATCATACTGTGTTAAAAACAAAACCTTTTCGACAAAACAACCGTACCTACTTATACAACAGATAATCGGGAAAACGTTAGAAATCTATACAAAAATATTTCAAATGTAAGCTGCACTCTTCTCAATTTTTATTTATTTTCATAAGATAATACCATTAAATTCTGATAAATATAGTGAAAGGAAAACTGAGAACCGAACATGGGGATATTCTCACTAAACAAGGGCTTCATCTTTTGACCTTCAGCCACCTTATCATATAAAGAATAAAGTAATATAAGATTATAAAATATGAGGAATTTAATTCTTGCATTATATCTGTCAACCAGGCGTTCCCCAGGGCTCACACTATGGGCCGATTCTCTTCAATTCAATATTCTTATAAATGATATAAACTCGGTTTTCAGGAATGATAATTAAGTAGTTGATTCAGACAATACTTATGACATTATTTGATTCATCATAATTATTGTAAGATCGTCAGTTCTAAGACACCTCTACTTTTTTTATCTTGAGATAATCTTCGCATTTCCCTAAAACTAAAACATCCCATTTCCTTAACTATTTGTGAACAGTAATCTAATCTATAAATTTGTGCGATTATCATCTCTTTGTTCTTTTAGAAAACTTTATGATCTGATATTTTTGTTTAAAGTTATTTCTAATCTGATTAAATATAATGAACTACAATTATAATTCCTTTTAAACAATTAAACTGTACACCCGATTTTTTGCACAATTCCAGCGAGTCAGTATCTCTCTATAGAAATATTTGAATTTATTATTATGTGAATCAAATCAGTTCTTAATTATGATAAGAGCCCTCGGAGTAGGGCACGTAAAAGTGACAAATTCAGGAACAAATTATAAATGGAGTCGAACCACCAAAACGGATATTTTTAGCAATAAAACTACTAGTCGTTGGTTTTTTTGGAGCTGTAGAGCCTGAAATAGAAAATTTTATCATTTCTCCACAGATATTTATGTCAATGTGCTTTAGTAATCTAGGCATCTCCATCATTATTTACTAGGTATTTAAGAAATTACATAGTTATTTCGACTATAATAACGCTGGCCTTTCGCCAAGTTATTCGGCTACAAATAAATGCATTTGTAAAAATAATACATTGAACATTATAGACCTTAGTAAAGTTTTAATATGTGCATGTATTATACTTAAAGTTTAAATCCCTTCAATTATAATAGTAACCTAAAGCAATTCCAGTTTTTTGGATTACAGGTCACGTTATTTTTAACTTCTAAAAATAATAGCGAAATGAGATGTAAAAGTATTCATTCTTATTTAAACAATGTAACTAAATTTGAAAAATAATTACAACTGGATAAAACCATCTTTTACCTTTATATGTACATTACAAGACCCAATTATTTTACTAAGTATTATCATCTATTTTTCAGAAGTCTTTAAGTAGTTGTAATGATTATAAATATTTAATTAATGTCACAATATCTGTAGGTACATTTAGAAGATTTTTCTGCAACAGCGAATAAATTTATTTCTTTTTTTGCTACATCACCCTGTCTCTGTCCATAAAAGGCAAGCTCGCACTTTTTAACAAGATGTCGACTCTGTTTAGGCTGTACATGCGCGCTGAAGCATTTAGGAGCTTGATACTGAAGTGTATTTATATCACACACCCGTTTCAAACATTTCTTTTGCATTATCAATTTTAATTGGTATTATTTTACCTATATCTAAAAAGATATGGTTTTGGTATATTACGTTCTACTATTTTTCAACAGTTCTTACAGTTAATGAAGTTGTGAGCCGTTCAGAAATGATTCGTGTGCAGACAGATATTAATTGTAGAAGTACATAGGTACAATACTGGGTACTCTTGATGGATTGTTTTTAGCCATAACTCAAAAACACAACAAATCTTGGTAATTTTTTACATTAGTTGACATTGGAATTGAGACATGAAGTTTAGTCAGGTAGGTAGTACTGACCAAGTAGAAATAATAAACAAAATTCTAGTAAATACTACTACACTACTTCACTTGGTGAGTACTACCTACCTGACTAAACTTCATGTCTCAATTCCAATGTCAACTAATGTAAAAAATTACCCAAATCTTATTATAAATAACAATTTGAGAAGGAGTACCTATGTGAGAACCAACAAAATCAGACAAGCACTGAATTCAAGATTATTATATTAATGGAAGACACTAATTGTATCATAATATAAACAAAGGCGTGCTGACGAAGTTACGATGTTTCTTACTGTGACCCTACCGAGAGTACGATACCTTTCCCTGATTTCAAGGACGAAACTGTAACATACCCCTGTGGGTATGAAGTCCAATTTACTCATTATGAAAGAATTTTACCATTTTCCCCGTGGTGAATTGAACACAATAAATAACTTCTGTATTTAAATTAACCGCCCTACTCGTTCTTCGAGAGGCGGGGACAGTTGAGGGCAAAAGGAGTTCGCGGACGAGAAAGTTTGAAAACATTTGTCTAGATCTATAAATGAAGGGGCAGTAAAATTCTGTAGAAGTCTTTCACCTTTTCAACGTTTTATTAGAGTCTTCCACCTCATTCCCTCCTTTAACTACCACACCCACTTATTCCCACGATTCTTAAAGCTGAAGAGGGCTTCCTGCCTTATCCATCACCTTGCACCATAAAATGGGTCAGTGGGATAGCCCGTCCATTATTATCAGCTAGTGGTAATGAATCACACTTAAGTTTTTGAACCTTCACAGCACATCTAGATGAGAACTGCCCATTAAGGCATTAGCCAAATTCAAAATAAGTTAACGATCAGGTTTGAACGTTTGTCTGCCATATTAGGGAATTCGTTGTTCTTAATAGATTTTCCTTTATTTTTAAAGATACCACCAAAAGGAACTACTACTTAATTTGGTACGAAGTAGCTCTTAGTCCTAAGTAACATATGATTTAGGTCCACTTTGAAACGTTTAGTACAGGGGTGCAGAATGTTCTGCCTTCAAAAAAGTTAGCCCTTACATTAATTATTAATTTTGATGTTAGATATCACGAGAATTTAAAAATTAATGGAAAATAAATAACGTGCTGCCATCTATTCTGTATAACATAAATTACAATGCAGCAGCTCTGCTTAGGTCACCTCGAATTGATAAAACTACGCAAAACTTAAGTAAAGCCTCCAATAGTAAAAAGGTTTCCCATCTTTAACATATTACTTGAAGGCTAGGAGTAACAGGAACAGAATTTGAAAGAGAAAACTTGAAGACGGTAAGCTTGTACGCCATCAGCACCTCTGCTGATCCCAGTTCGACGAGGGAGGCATGGAACAACATTTCACCATAACGTCTCTACATTTGGAATCCATTGGATCTTTTGATTATCGCAACTGCTCTTGATTGAACAAGCTGTAATGCTTGCTTTGACGTCAACCAACGCTTCTGGTCTTTGAGCTGATGGCCTCATGATGATGATGATCATTATTCTAGTAAAAACTGACATGAGTCGCCCTTGATTCTTTTTGATAGTGATAAGCAATGATGAGAACAGAAAAAAGCCTGAGGTAATAGTCTCATGATGATGATGATCAATGTTCTAGTAAATGTTGACATGAGTCTAACTTGATTCTTTTTGATAAAGATAAGCAATGATGAGAACAGAAAAAAGCCTGAGGTAATGGCCTCATGATGATGATGATCAATGTTCTAGTAATAGCTGACATGATTCGCCCTTGATTCTTTTTGATAGAGATAAGCAATGATGGGAACAGAAAAAAGCCTGAGGTAATGGCCTCATGATGATGATGATCATTGTTCTAGTAAATGCTGACATCAGTCGAACTTGATTTTTTTAAGAGATAAGCAATGATGAGAACAGAAGAAAGATTGAACTGATGGCCTCATGATGATGATGATGATCAATGTTCTGCTAATAGCTGACACGAGTCGAATTTGATTCGTTTTGATAGAGATAAGCAATGATGGGAACAGAAAAAAGCCTGAGCTGATGGTCTCATGATGATGATAACCATTGTTCTAGTAAAAGCAGATATGAGTAAAACTTGATTCTTATTGATAGAGATAAACAATAATGGGAACAGAGAGAAGTCTGAGGCAATGGCCAAATGCTGACATGGGTACTATTTAATTCTTTTTGATAGAGATAAGCAATGATGGGCTGAGTTGATCAATCTTAAAAAATTTTACTGTATACACTCTCACTACTTTTTAAAAAATTCCACCTTGTGGTACTTCTTTTGTTGCTGGCTTATGGGCAATTGTACCTACTGTTAAGTATTTACAATTCTTACTACTTGAGATAAATTTTTTTGGTGGCTCCAAAGGTGTACCACTTATATTAAATATTACCTACTTCATTATCCCTTTTTCCATCTTTGTGACATCCAATGACCTTCTCCAACCTATATGTGTTTTTTTATTTATAAAATTTGAATTTACTCATATATACATATATGCATTTATTCCCTTTTATTACAATACTAAAAAACAACATTCACAAATAAATAACATGTTTATTGGTCTTTTTGGAATGACTGTTCAACAATAAGTAGAAATGGCCTAAGTGTGTTATATCACATTCACACTATCTTCAGTCTGTTGCTCTTTTGAGTTGCCTACCAATGGAAGAATGCCCATGGACCAAAGCAATGGTGCACTATTAAGTACAGTCACCACAGGATCCCCACTGTAAGTGTTGGATGTACTCACCATCTTCCCAAATTCTAACACATCGCTGTCTATGCATATCACATAAGTTATTAAAAAAATGAAACAATGAAGTATCAAAGTATTTAAAATCCTTACTCAAATTCCATTTCAATCCTGTTGTTGTTGCAATGGAAGAAGACCCAATAGGTACCAGAGAACACCAAGTTTTGCTTCTGGATAAACTAACAGGAATACTAATTTTATGATATCCTTCAGACAACAACCAAGAAAAACTATCAGAACCTAATAAATATACACTACTATTTGGAACAATGGTTTTGGCCTTAAACAATGTGTTCACATTGGCCATAATTTGATCAATCCTTCCAGAACTGTCTCCTAATACAATTATTATAGGAACATCAATGTTACTTTCAGAAATCTTTGACTGAATAACTCTTAAGGATTTTGTGAAGTCTGTTTCATCTTGATCCATTGTTTTAATAATCTCCAGTTGAGGATATCTTTGTTCCACTTTTTTTAGATAATTTTCTGGAATAGAATCTAGATCACCAGTTAAGTAGTCAGGAGGATTAATGCATGTTTCATCTATATTATTTGATTTCAACCAGGAAAACCAACAAAGTGTTCCACCATCAACAGTTACTCTCATGCAGGCTACAGAGATACAATACATTAAGTTAGAAAGAAAGACAATAAAGTAGTTATGTAACATATTACTTGAATTGTGGTACTTATATTTCATATCTTTACTTACCGTTATTCCATAAATTTAGCAATAAACTTTCTTTCCCATTTGCAATTATTGGTGTGTTTAAAACTACAACAATGTAATTGTTAAACTTCTCCTTGCCTTGAAATAAAACCTTCAAGGGATCCCATACTTTAACTTTATTACGGAAGCACATGTTAAATTTATCACTTTTAATTTAAATATATAATGAAACATAATCACTCCTATTTAAGCATTATAATGAATGGTGGCAAGTAATCACACCGAAGCTGAGCGAAACCAAACAGCAAAAGAACATTGAGGTTAGCTTTCCATTTTATAACGCTTCCTATGATGTCACAATTGGAGGATACAGGGATCGTTCAAACAAGTCCACTATAAATGTTTCCTTAATTTTGATTCTGGTTGTTCAATCAAACTTTTCAAAATCACAACCATTTTAAAACATTAATACTGATATAAAACGAAGTCATTGGGATGTATTAAAGCTGATTACTTTAAAACCGTGAAGTTCTTTTAATGGATATACTTGAAAAAAGAACACGATTTTTATTTCAATTCAACTGAATAAACACAAGCAATGGAATCATTACAGCATAAAGCGAAATTATGCTTAGTTACAGTTGAAGGTTATTAATGATAATGAAAACAAAGTCAATGGCAATTTTTTATCAACGGCTACTAGAAAAGTTTTGTATCAAGGCTCAGTACTATGCAAAAAAGATGTAGGGGACCCTACATATATTAATTAATTTCTCATTTTTGTATGCCAAAGAAGAGAATACATTCTCACTTTTAAATTCTTCAAAAGGTGGAAAATCTATGTGGGAAATATTTAATGTACTCGAAATAATTGAAGCGTGTGGAATGGTATGGGATGAGAAAAGGAGTGGAGAAGAGGTATGCACATGTAAAGATGACTTGAATATGTGGCAGAATAAAAAATTAGAGGCAGAGTGGGTGGCAATTCTAGACTCTTCTTATAACAATGATGCCCAGGGGAGCTTCAACAATATAATTATTGAAACAGAATATTTGAATAAAAGGTACCCTTAAAAGGAAAGAGAATAAGGAAGTATTGTTTAGAATTGGATGTGGTAATACAGGAAAAGGGTATAAGAAAATATATAGAGAGTGGGAATGTAGGTACTGAGGGAACATTAACTCACTTCTTCTGTTGTGGAACAGCCACGCAAAGTCAAAGAGTTTGTGATGGAATGGAAAGGTGACAGGTTAGAAAGTGATATGTGGGGAAATATGCGAATTTAAAGGAGTAATTAAAGTTACAGAGAATGAGGTTTACTTTTAGTAGAATAGTTTAGAAAGTAAGATTGTTCATCAAAATGAGATCCCAATGTTTTTATTTTTTCATTAAATGGATACAGATAATTACACGTAAGAATCAAATTAAAATGTGTTACAGAAGGCGATATATTAAATTAAACTTTTTGATTTAATTTTTATTAAGAAACGACATGTTTTGTGTAGGTACCTTCAGTAGCTTATAGGCAATAAGCGAATAAAGAAAATTTTCACATGAATACATATGTGCATAGGTATATAAGTTGTTACATAATATTAATTATAATACTGTCTATGCTTATTAAATGTAATTGTACAGTTTTCATGTGGATATGTATTTCATAACTAACAATTAATTTAATGTATCTAGGTAACTAATTGGCTTGTAATTAAAGTATCTCATAAATAGGCAGGTATGTAATTCAACAACTGAAAACAGTACATTAAGTACATCCTCATTTTCTTAGGTGTTGTTGAGAACGTTGATCAACTATTATGCGCATATAAGATGTCTGAAAAATTTGAAAGTTCCTAATTTTAATTTCCCTGCTTAAATAAATCATTATAGATTAGAATTAATTACTATGTTGCTCTTTAAAAATTAAAAATTTACACTTTTCTGGATGATGCTTGTCCAGTACTACTACGCACTATTTTAAATACTCATAGCAAAAATTGTATTTTTAAAATGAAGCATAGGCTTGCGTATGATTCGTTTTTGTTAGAAGCAGACGACTGCCGTTTGGAACGGGAGCACTTTTTAAACGCATGATTTTAAAATAAATGTTACCTAATAACATTTTGCGCTAACCAATGTATGTACGTCTCGGTTTTTGTTGTAAATTGCTTGTCGTTATCAATATCAGCTTTATTTAGTATATCCACCGACTGTAAACATTCGGCAATACACCGTCGTGCAATAACGTTTGCTCGTTTTATCAACCCAATTGCGCTTGCATTATTTATTGTATGTATCTATCTTAGTAAGTGTACCACGTGGTTGGAGCCTCTTTCGATACACTATAATTCAGCTGATTGGTGCAATTGTCGATAGTAATAGTAGTTTACTCCATTGAACTCACACAAACGCACATTCGAAGTAATTCAGTGACTTCAGAGATGGTCCGTTCGAAAGTGCGCAACTTGGGCGATTTACTCAAGCATACCCTGGGCGAGGTGGAAGTTTTAGAAGAAAAATACAAGTTCCTCACCGATCCCGGGGAACATTATGGAAGTATTATGTTGGCGGTGGACGTAACGGTTAAAAAGCCGGGCGAAACGAAGGAGGAAGTGCTATATTTAGTGGCTAAAATTTTGCCAGCCAGCGAAATGCTCAGGGTCGTATTCGATGTTAGTGTTACATTCAAAAAGGAAATAAACGCATATCTGAACGCAGTTCCGGCCATTCTACGGTTCCAGAAAGACAACAACGTACCGAAAGAGCACGAATTTGATATTTTTCCTAAATGTTACGGAGCTAGATTATCTTTGGACAAAAACAAAGACAGCGTGGACGATGATGCAGCTATTATATTCGACAACCTCAAAAGTTATGGCTATGAGATGGGTGATCGACTTGTCGGTTTTGATTTAGCTCATGCCGAATTGATTGTGAGAGATTTGGCCAAATTTCATGCAGTTCCCCTCGCTCTACGATTGAAAAGGCCCGATGTATTTGAAGAAAAGATACTCCCGTGTACAACGAAAAACAAAACTTTCGATCAGTTTCCTGAAGACGCTAAGAAAGCGTTCAACGACAGTATTATCGATGGGGTTAATCAGGTACAAGAACTTGAGGTATATTTACCGAGAATTCAAGCCGCTATCAATAAAGCGATGACCGTTCCTCCAAATCCACCCAAAGATCCCTTCATCACCGTCATTCATTCTGATTATTGGGTTAACAATACGATGGTATTGAAGGATATTACTGGAAAACCGGTAAAAAATAAAATAGTCGATCTGCAACTCATAACGCTTGATTCGCCGATAAAAGATCTTATATTTTTCTTGTTTACGAGTGTTATTAACGACGTCCTGGATAAAAATTTCGATAGATTAGTTCGTATTTATTACGAAAACTTTTTGGATAACTTGAAAGATTATGGCATCGATATTGGCTTGTTTTCTTGGGACGTCTTTGAAGAGGAATTGAACAGAGTGGCAAAAGAAGAATTCTACCATGTGGCAGTGATGTTAAAACCCATTTTTACTGAAAGGGGAAAAGTTCAGCACAGTTTGGAAGATTTCCAGCCAAGCGATTGGACCAGGGATGATTTGTTAGGACCTAGACACACCAAAAAAATGAAGGACACAGTGCTTGCTTTCGCAAAACATAAATGGATTTAAATAAATAATATTGGTTAAATTTAATTTTTAAATAAATATTATCCGATTTGATTGTTCAAATTGTGTACATTTTTAAATCAATTTGTTGTTAATTCCATATGATAATTGGGTCTGTTGTTATTATTCAATTAATCGAATAAGTGGTTGATTTTATAAAAATTATTGATTATTACGATATTGTTAATTGACTATTGTAACTCTCAAAATTATTTCTATTACCTATTGGATTAAATAAGTTGATTTTTTCTGTTTATTTGGTTTTCTTTTATTTTAATTATTACAACAATTAAAAAAGCGAGATACCTTTCACGTAAGCCTACGTAGATGGAGTAAAAAAATTTTTTGACAAATTTACGCAATTTTGCTGTCACCAGGAAAAATTAAACGCTTTGAAAAACTAACGTGATAATTAACGCAAGGAACACAACGATAAAGTAATGGTTATGCAAATCAACGTAGATTATAGATAATTAATGCATACACATGATTTATTTTGGATCGTTGTTCTGACATATCCATTTAAGAAGGTTTAATTAGCAGTCATTATTTTAAAACGAAAATAATAAGTTGACCGTTAACATCTTATTTTAAAATGTTCCTATAATATCTGTAGTCATTGTTTGTTCAAAACAGTTATAAAATTCCGTTTAGAGCTTTGTGGTGTAAAATTACGTCCTAGATATGGATGGATTTAATGTCTTTTTGTTAATGATGCGTTTCAACGGTCGCCTTCATATATGCTTGCAATTAAGAATCTTCTGGAAATGGCCACAACAATTTCAACGAAACGTTCTGGTTCATAAATTACCTTTTTCTGACCTTATAACGGTAACTCTACTTATAAAATACCTGGAGTAGGTAAATTGGTTATTGAGACCATTGTCTTTTCATAAAGTGGAACCGAAGGTGCTGTTGCATGGTATTCAAGATTTCACGTCTTTGTTATTGAGATTTTAATTATTTGTTTGCTGTAAATAAATAATAAAATCACCAAGAAAAAACTCCAGGAATAACTGTAGTAGATTCGTTTCTTATAAGAGTTTCCTATACGGACAAAAGTATTTACTGCATTATTATTATCTCCGAAAATGTTCTCAAATACTTTCTTTTGCCAAATTGCTAGAAGCAATAAATTACCTACAAGAATGCTAAGAAGTTTGACCCATTTAAACTAATTTTATTTCCAATAGAACAGTAAATTAACCGAATACATCAATACAAAATAACTGATGAATCAGTAAATAATGCTGATTTCTTCATCAATTGCTTACCTTTTATTCTACTACAATTTTTACATTATTTTAAACCAAGAGAAGTATATCAAATTAAAAAATTTCCGAAAATATTTTTAAGATTGCTTTGTGATTAAACATTTCTTTATAAGAAGCTACAATAATTTCTAGACTGATGTAAAATTATCATGTACTTTCTTTTCTGATAAGCGATATTTTCCGGTCTTAACCAAATCTTTTCTGGTTTATTATTAAATGATAATAAAGGTTCATCATTCCAAAATACTTTTACGACACCGAGAAAATTAGGTTTCTGAATTCCTAATAAAATAAAACAAGAATTTACACTTAAAAGTATTTATTAGACCATGTTTTAATAATTATTTTTTAAATTTCATTTTGGTTTTACGATTTTGTAACTAATGTACCTAGTGCGTTATTTGTACAAATTATTTCACTGTTTTACAGCTACGTTAATTGTGTCTACATAAACAAATGAAATAACAATTAAAATTGTTTGGATTTATTGTTTATCTTTTTGAAAGTGTATAAGCTTAAATAGGCAATAATGTAAATGCCTTTATTGACGTCTGTCTTTTTAAGTGCGGAAAAAAAAATTATTTTTTAACAGAAAATTTTAAAAATTTAAAATTGTAGACCATTTAAGTAATCTCTGTGGCATTCTTTTATGTTTATTTAAATTGCTTCCTTGCCTTTTTGGTTAAACAGCAAAATTGTAGTCATGTTTTCTTGATGGAATTTTTCGGCGATAACCTGAGGTACAACTCTTATCATACATGTCCATGAATAAAATACTAGTTAAGTAATACATTGGTTATTGTTAAACTGATTTATAAATTTGGTAATTTGTCATCAACCATGAATAATATTTGTTTCTATTTTGTTAATAAACTGCCAATTTCCTTCTTATAAAGCAATTGTTTAAGTTATAATTTTCAAACATAACGCTATTGGCTTGTACATTCGGTCATCTGCATCCGCAGAAATTTTACAACTCACACTCTTGTCTACATCTGCACTTGAATCTGAACCTTCATCAGGATTCGCATATTTCGATGAGGATAGCGGATATTCCTTGCTTGGTCCAAGATTGTTCAATCCTGGTCCAAAACTGACAACCAATATGGCAAATGCCTGGTTTGTTTTCACGGTCCAAACCTGGTTGGCAAGCTTGATCTACGATTGCAGGGCCAGTGTTGGACCAAGGAACAATACTAACTCAAGATTAAGCAGCTAATATTACGCCAAGACATGATGAACAAAAGCAATTACGCAGTTATGTCGCTTTCCATCTTGACCAATACTTCGTTGTCAAGTACTTGATATACCTTGTTCCAGTATTGACAAATCCATACTTGACTACCAGTATTGCACCAAACTTGACGAAACGTTAATATACCTACCTTGGCATTTGAAGATTGGCCGAACATTAGACCAGTATTGACAAACCCATACTTGACTGCCAGTATTGGCCAATAGTCCGTTGGTCAGTACTGGATACAGAATGGTGAAACGTTTTATGTATACCTAGTCTTGACCCTTGAAGCTTGATCAAACTTTGATCCAGTATTGACAAATCTATACTTGACTGCCACTATTGGACCAAACTGGGCTAAACGTTAATATACCTATCTAGGTACTTGAAGATTGGTCGCATTTTGGACCAGTATTGACAAACTCATACTTGACTGCCCAGTATTGGCCAATAGTCCGTTGGTTAATACTGGATATAGAATAGCGAAGCATTTATATGTATACTTAGCTTTGACCCTCGAAGCTTGATCGAACTTTGATCCAGTACTGACAAATCCATACTTGACTGGCAGTATTCAGTATTGTACCAAACTTGGCGAAACGTTAATATACCTACCTTGGCATTTAAAGATTGGCCGAACTTTAGACCAGTATTGACAAACCCATACTTGACTGCCAGTATTGGTCAATAGTCCGATGGTCAGTACTGGATATAAAATGGCTAAACGTTTGTATATATACCTAGCCTTGACCCTTGAAGCTTGATCAAACTTTAATCCAGTATTGACAAATCCATACTTCACTGCTAAGTATTGGAATAAACTTAGCGAAACATTACTAAGCTAAGCCATTACGTTGGAAGATTGTCTGAACTTTTGACCGGTATTGACAAACCCATACTTGACTTCACTTGGATTTGCACTACTGATCCAGATTTGGATCTGTCGTCAAGTTCGGCATTTCCTACATGTGCGGTCATATCCCATGGTTGACCTAAATGCTTTCTGTCGCTTTTTGTAGAATGCTCAGACGTTCAGTTCACATTTAAAAAAAAGCAATCGTGTCACATAACGATAAAAATAATAAAGGCGTAATCACGAGATATTACTGATTCGGTGTAGTAGACATTAAAATTAAAATACATATATACTAGGTACTTAAAAATAACCTTTATTTTCAAGTAGGTATTAAATTCAAGTTCATACATTATTGTTAATTATAATTATTAAATTTGAATGTTTAAACTGAGCTTAAGATGCGTCTACGGTAACATTGTTGTCTTTTAGATATTTGTCCAACCATAATTCGATCACTGGCAGATTTTCGTCACTCCATTTCGTTTCTTCTTTGATGTTTTTAAGAGATTTTTCAATGACGAAATCAGCCGTGCCGAAATCACCCTGTTTTTCAACATACAATTTCGAAACCATATCTAATCCTTCCTGTGTTTTGAACACAGACGTTGCAGAATTAATTAGTGCATTCCATAACTGAGGTTTGGTCTCAAACCTGCAATAAACTAATTCAAATACCTCTGCTTTGGTAGGTATCACATGATGTATTATTTACATTTGCAAGATAATCTAAGAATTAAAAGTTAGTTTGCTGTCTTCTTTATCACTTAACAAGTTCTAATTGGACTTTAAATAAGAAGGGTATGTTTTGTCTTGGTAAATATTGCACTTGTTATCACAATATACATAAATGTCTAGCGTTAATGACCATACATTGAAGTTTTTTTGTGTCTACATTGATTGTTGATAAGAAATAATTCGCGTGAGAGATACATACATACAAACAAAGGAAATGAAATTATCTATATCAGTCTTCTTACACAACAGAGGCGGTGTTTCGACATACACTATCTATCATTAATTATTTAATTAACAAAGGCTAAGTTAAAGTGTCGGATTCGACAGACGCTTTTTTTTTTGGTTTTCAATTCGATATACATTCATTGTTGCGCATCAGCATAAACCGTTGTTTGAACATTTCGAAACATTTTGAAGATAGTACTTTCAGTTCTTAAACAAATTTAAAACTTAGTAATCGTTGACATAGGAACATGTACCCAATTCTATTTCTTCTTTACAAAAATGTGTTCGTCGCAAAAATTTTTAGCGAAATATTTGCCAAATATTCTAGCTTTACGGGTAGCAATAGAGAAAACGATAGAAAAAAGAAAGACTGCGTACATAGGATTTGTAGATTTAGAGAAAGCTTTTGACAATGTTAAATGGGACAAGATGTTAAATATACTTAAAAATGTAGGGATGAATTACAAAGATAGAAGAGTGATACTTAGTTTGTATAAAGAGCAACAGGCAGTTATAGAGCTGGGGATGCAACGTAGAGAAGTAAATATTAGGAAGGGAGTCAGGCAGGGATGCACACTGTCACCGCTACTTTTTAATCTATACATCGAAGACGC